GCTGTTCAAATCCAGCAAATCATGAGGTTTGCTATAGTTCTATTGCCTATACTTCTGATACAGAGGGATGGACTCCATTCCTGTTTGAAAGATGAGACAGTCAGGGGAACATGACTTGCCTGTGGTCATGCAGAAGGATCCTGGACCCAAGGGTGAGGCCTGCTAAGAGAAAACATATTTAAACTATTTGAAGGGCAGCAGCAGAGGTGGCTGGGGATTTGAACCCACTCCCTGAAGCCTCCAGGAAATTAGCCCCATCCCCACCAGTAGCTGTCCACATGGCTGGGATTGTCAGAGTGAATCTCTGTTCAGAGTGGGCTATACAGCCTGAGAAGGGGAGAGGAAGGCATGGCAGAAGCCTGAGAAGGGGAGAGAAAGGCATGGCAGAAGCTCTTAGGACGAATTGGGATTGGGTTAGGGTCTGGTATCTCTCCAATTTCAGAGGTTCCCTATGTGTGATGCCTAAGCAACCTCTTGTCCCTGTCACTCAGTTTCATCCAAGGGAAGTCTTGGGAATGGGCCCACCACAACATGAGTGTGGCCCATGTATTGTGCAGAAAATATTATGTATTATGAAAAGCTGATACAAATGTCAGTCCAACGTCTACCTTTTCTTTTTCTTTGTCTGCAGAAATCTGACTTTACACCAGGTGGTAGTGTGACCCCTTGAAGAGCATTCAGTTTTCCATAGGACATAGACAAAGATTGTCAGAAAAAAAGGATTTTTACTAATAACACGGCCTAGGAGCGGGTCGGGGAGCTCTCTGAGTCCCTGAGGGCACAGTCTATGTCTTGGTATCTTATCGTTTGGTTCCTTTCCCCAGCCCTAAGACAGACAACTCTGAGCTGTACCACAATGCTGTGGGCTGTCTTCAAGGCCAATCTTCAGTTCAGAGGATCTCCATGGTAACCTGGAAGGCCCTTAGAAGTTGTATAACTTGCCTTCTAAAACATGGTGATCCAGTCTGAGGAGCGAGAAATGAAAAGTCCCGCAGCCAGTCTGATGCTGAGCTGAGGATAGAACTTAAAGAGGTCTTGGGGACCCCAAAACCTTCTTAACTGATAGTTAAGTGTGCTGAGTGGCTGTGGTTGAGATCACCAGTTATAACATTAAGGGCAGGTATGGGGTTCAGCACACGCAGGGACTCTGTGGAGAAGGGATAGAGCAGCTGCCAACTGATCTCAGGTCCGGGGCATGCTCAGCCTCCTTCCAGATCCTGCTCTGGAGAGCTTGATCTTGGCCAGACAGTCCCGGTCAACAGGAGTGACTGACCAGTGGGGGGCCCCTCCCCCATTTCTAACTTCTGTACATTCCCTTCCTATTCAGAACTTCCTCCAAGGAAACCAGCACCTTGGGGTGGCACGGACTCCCCGGTCATTAGACCACACATGGAATGGATAGCAGGCCAGTGGACCTGTCCCCAAACCAAAGCACTAGTTGCTGCCAAGGGCTTGTAGTGTTTTGAAAGAAAATGGCCCCCATAGGCTCGTTGCGAGTGGCACCATTAGGAGGTGTGATCTTGTTGGAATAGGTGTGGCCTTGTTGGAGGAAGTGTGTCACTGTGGGGTGGGTTTTGAGATCTCAGAAACTCAAGGCAGGTCTAGTATGGCAGCTCCCTCCTGCTGCCTGCGGATCCAGATGTAGGACTCTCAGCTCCTTCTCCAGCACCACGTCTGCCTACACAGAGCCATATTTTCTGCCCTGATGATAACAGACTGAACCTCTGAAAGTGTGAGCCAGCCCTAATTAAATGTTTCCTTTAGAAGAGTTGCTATGGTCACAGTGTCTCTTCACAGCAATGAAACCCAAACTAAGACAGGGCTCGGAGCTGTCTCTGTGATGCAGAAGGGTCACTTCAGTTAGAGACGCTTAGCAGATAAATCCTCTATTCCTCCTTCCCTAGCCAGTGACTGATAGGGCACAAAAAGCCAGCCTGGGGTTCAAAGGACTGTGCTATGATGCACACTCAACACTCCAGATCAAAACTGTTTGAGACTGGACCCCGGGGGTATATCCTCCCCTCTGCTGAACCTCCACTGGGCTCTATTGTGATCCCTTGTGCTGGGCTGGAACTTCTGTGCACCCCTGCACAAGCTAGGAAAGCCCATCTGCCCTCTTTCCCCCAACCCCACATGCTCGGAGGGAACTCTGGCCTAACACGTCATCATTCTTGTCTCCAGGTTTCTGACAACCCACCCAAGAGCTCAGTGTTTGACCATATATGGGCACAATCCCAGCTATGTCTGTGACATCATCACTCCTCGCCTAAAAAGCTCTACGAAACCTTCTTGCTTTAACCTGGATGTGCAACTCCATTGACCTCTTCCTATGAGATCAGGGAACCAGCCCGAGGGCTGCCTCCTAATAAAGCTGCCTGCATCTTCTTCTAATCTGGTCTAATCTGGCTTAATCTGTGCTACTGAGGGGTGTGGGAAGAAAAAGCCTAGTATTTACGTTCTTTAACTCAGCTACTACACCGGGGACTGCTCTTAGGGAATCAGGCGTTTCTGAGTTCTGTCTTAGGCAGAGTGAGAGCCACCAAAGGTTCTCAGCTCAGTGTTTGCTCAGAGGTTCCCCCATTTCTTGCCTCTGAACCCACAGAGATGCTCAGCATCTACCTCTGTGGATCTGTACCAGTCAGCATTGATACTTATTAATACCAAAGAGGCACACACAGCATGCCAACAGCTGCTTGTTATTGGGGGGGGGGTGTTGGAGTCCTATGCAATGGGGGTGTGTACTCGACTCCTGGTACCAATGGAGATATGATTGTGTGTCAGGTTGACAAGGGGTCAACTTGTGATGGATATTCTTGGCTGTCAACTTGACTATATCTGAAATTAACTAAAACCCAACTGGCTGGGTATATCTCCAAGGGAGGCTTCTTGATTGGTTTACTTGAAGTGGGAAGACCCATCCCAGGTCTGGATCATTTCTGGTGGGAAGATCCACCTTTGATCTGGACCACAGCTCTGGTGGACATGGAAGCAGGAACCTTGCTCTTTGCCTGCTTGCTCTCACTCTCGATGGCAAGTGCATCCCTTCACTGGCATTAGAGTCTACTTCTTCATGGTTCTAGCATCCACTGACGCCCAGCTGAGACATCCAGCTTCATGGATGGAAAAACTATTGGATTCTTGGACTTTCCACTGGGAGACAGCCAGTGGAATTGTTGGAATAGTTGGACCACAACCTGTAAGCCAGTCTAATACGTCCTGTGTATCAATCTCTATCTTATCTACCCATCATCTATCTATCTATCTATATCTACCTATCATCTGTCTGTCTGTCTGTCTGTCTATCTATCATGATGGTTTGTATGTGCTCGGACCAGGGAGTGGCACTATTAGAAGATGTGACCCTGTTGGAATAGATGCGGCCCTGTTGGATTGGGTGTGGCCTTGTTGGGGTGGGTGTGGCCTTGTTGGAGTGGGTGTGTCACTGTGGGCGTGGGCTTTAAGACTCTCATCCTAGCTGCCTGAAAGCCAGTATTCTGTAGATGTAGAACTCTCAGCTCCTCCTGCACCATGTCTGCCTGGATGCTGCCATGCTCCCACCTTGATGATAATGGACTGAATCTCTGAACCTGTAAGCCAGCCCCAATTAAATGTTGTTCTTATAAGAGTTGCCTTGGTCATGGTGTCTGTTCACAGCAGTAAAACACCAGCTAAGACTTCTATCTATCTATCTATCTATCTATCTATCTATCTATCTATCTATCCATCCATCCATTCTATCTATCCTACCTATTCATTCTATTCTATTCTATTCTATTCTATTCTATTCTATTCTATTCTATTCTATTCTATTCTATTCTATTGGTTTTGTTTGTCTACAGAACTCTGACCAATACATGGTATACTAGAACCATTCCCACACCAACCCATAGTGTGGTTCCCAGACACCCTGGTCCCCAGCCACAGGATGGCAGTCAATTGAGGATGCAGAACCTTCATGATGCTTTTAATTTCTTTTAATGTATAACAGTTACGCCTGAGTTACAGAGGCAGCGCTTACAAGCAGCAGGTAGTTAAAGCAAATACCAGTTTGTCTTTCTAGTCTACTATTCCATATAGCTGAATAAATTATGGTGCGCTTATATTTAGACACCCGCCCACACGCGCACAACCCACTCACGCCCTCATGCACACATACTCACTTTGCTTCGAGGAGAAACGGCTGAGCCAAACACTGAAGCAACAATGTTGCAGTCACTAGGAAGAAGGAATGTTTGCCAGCACAGGGTGGTGTTTTCCCAGCAGGGGGCTGCCCATGTCCGCATAGACAGCGTAGACAGAGGGAACATTAAATGCACAGGTATCTTGAAGCATTTCAACACGGCAGCCCAGGTACCCCCCATTTGTTCTTGGCTTGGTGCTTCAGTAGAAAGTGAGGATGCTTGCACACCCTAGAGAAGCATCTTGCAGGCAGAGACATTTCCAGGAGCCTGGGAGGATACAAGCCTCATAGAAGACTGACACAGTCTTCTTAGTTGGCAACTGTGGAGTCGCTCAGCAAGGCTTAGTTCCATGTCTTAGAACGTTCTACCATTTCCATGCAAAACAATACCAGACTCTGGTGAAGCATGCTTTGTCCTGGGCCACAGCTATCTATCATCTGGCTGTGAAGCCACGCCACTTTCCTGTCACGCCGCTCTCCTGTCTCCCCGGCCAACTCCTCCTCCCCTGACTCTTCTCTCCTACCCTCTTGCTTCCCAATTTCTGTTTCCTGTGCTCATTCCTGGTCCCCTCAAAGAAGGGCAAAGTTAAACTGAGTATAAAGCAACAGAGCAGAAGCCTGACTCTTAAAGCCATCTCTTTCATTTTCATAGCAAGACAGAGATGCCAAATTGGGAGTAGGGGAATGGCAATGGGGGGGAAAAAAGGAAGGAACTCAAGAAAGGCTGGAATACATAATCCAAACACTCAATGAGATCCCTACAGATGGTCCCTGTCACTAGCACGATACACACTGTGGGGGTTTCTTTCCTTTTTTTTTTGTTTTTGTTTTTAAGTATATAGATTTATATATAAAAAGCCAATGTTCTATAAACAAACAGCACGACATCACATTTTGAACTACCATACAATATGAGTTCAGAGGGGCCTCCACAGAAGAACCAGTAGCTACTTGAGGTGACATGGAGGGCACCCCTCTTATCTTGCTATTGACTCTATTTACAGGGATTGGGGTGGGGGGCTGTTTCTGGCCCAGCCTGGCCACTGGAAACTGGCCTTCTTCTAGGCTGTGCTCAACCCCAGAGGGGTGGTGGAGAGGCCTGGTGCCTCTCATCTAACTGACGTCACCTCGCTGGTGAAGTTGCAAGCTGCCCAAACAAGGCTGAGTTTTACAGATCAAGGGAGACAGATTCACAAAAGCATGAGACGGTTAGGAAAAGCTGTTGGGGGTCAAGGCTCTCCCCAGAACACAAGTTCCACTTTATACCAAGATGGCAACTTGGGGGAGCGTTCAGCGGCATGGCATGGAATGAGAAATCATTTCATTTTCTCCCAAGTAGGTCTCTGGTTGTGGTTACCCTTGTGGGCAGATCATTGTGATTGGTCCAAGCATTGGAATGTTGCTCCCAGGGCTGGGACTGGGCCCTGTGGATGTCGCCTGCTTGAGGTCCCTGCTCCTAAAGTATAGTTGGTGAACAGAGACTCAGGTGCATCCAGAGCCAGGCATCCAAGGGGCAAGGAATGTGGAGGAAGATGCATTTGGTCTTCGAAAGGGGTGCAGCTGTGAGAAGTTCAAAAGGAGAATCTGAGTTCCCGGGGTGGGGGGGGGGGCAACGTGGCTTTCCTCCTGTCCAGACCTCGAAGCCAGAAGTCTCCTCTGTTGAAACCGGACAGAGCCAAGGAGCTCCATCTGTCTGGTGCTCCATGCTACCAGAGAGTGTTTGACCTCAGTTATTAATAGACTTCTCTAAACCACAGATACAAGCCATCCTAGTCATGGCCTGGGACGGGCTTCAGATAATGGGTCTAGAGATGAAAAGATAGGTGTACATTGGTCACGTGTTCATGTAGACAAGTGTCCCAGTGTCTCGCTGGCTCAGGTCCCTAGGCAAAAGGAAGTCAGGTGGGCTTTTGAGCCTATAGCCCCTCTCTCTAGGAATATCTTGCTGGCTGAGGGCAGGAGGCATGGACTGGGCCAACAGGGTGGTCTCATGTATACAGGTGGCAACAAATCATCAGGCCCAGGGTTCTTGGATTTGGTGCTGTGGGATACCAGCATTGGATGAGGGTGGTCCGGGTGTAGGCTACAGCGAGGGAGAGGGTAAAAATGGATGCCATTTTGATAAATGGAGCGTGATAAAAAGCTCTGTGGAGGAGGGGGGGGGCTCAGCAGTCCATTTCCCCCCAAAAGACCCAGCTCTAAGAGAGGACAGGGGTGCAAAGGAAGACTCTGCGGTGCTTAGGGAAGGCTCCTTGTTCTCTTTGCCGAGACTTTTAGCATTTTCCTCTGTTCCCAGAGTGTGGGAGGGATGGGATGGGATGGCTTAAAAACAGTGCCCAAGGTACACTGTGCTCCATGAGGCAACAGAAGCCTTTTGACTGGGCAGCCATCACTGAAAAATGCTATTCCGAAAAAGACAGAGACATGGCCTTCCACCGAGGATGCCAAGGAGACTGCAGTATCTTCTCTGGGGTGGACCAGAAATTCTGCCTGGTCCGAGAAGGCTCTTGGCATCAAGAGCCTTACATGCTGGAAGATGGAGGCCCCTTTTCAGGGCATCAGCATGCATACGGCAGGTTCCCAGCTTCCAGCAAGATGGTGTGTAGAACTCCAGGGGTGTGGACTTGAAAGCTCCGTGCATTCAGACAGTCTGAGCCTGACTCGTGCCTCCTGTCACCTCAAGACCTTCTCTTCTCCTACCAGTTGAGGAGACTGACGGGTTCTGTGGGCTGCCCAGGCCCAATACAGTGGGCAAGCTTCTGATACAGATTGCAGCCTAAGAGTCCTGCACCTCCTGATGCTGGACCTCGGACCAGGCATTCTGAGATAGCCCATGGCCAACAAGCCTCTGCCTCTGTGTCCCATACCCACTGCTAGAATCTCTTCCTAGTCTCCTGATGCTCAGCAGGGTGTGTAAGGGCAGTCCCAAAGTCTTCTGGATTCCTAGGTAAAGCTGAGATGTTACCTGCTTTCTCCCCTGGGAACACCCTGGGGACTCATCTCAGTGTCCAGTGAAAGAGGCTGCAGTCCTGATGCCAAGCAAGAGAGAGCTCCCAGCTCTGTGACTGAGGACACCGTGATCTCCACCTGCACCTGTGCAGGGCACCCAGGACTCAGAGGTCAAGGACTCCAGGGCCTTGTCTTTGGCACCATTTTCTTCTGATAACTAGGTGCTTGGTTCAGATTGAGCCTCAATCTCTGCACTGAGACAGGACCAAGGCCATGACACTAGAAGGTGAGTGTGAGCTGGAGGCTACTGCAGGATGGCTAGGAATCTCTCTGGAGAAAGAAGGGGAGGCAAGAAGCCACTCTGGATCACTAACCATGGGTGAATGGCATACTGTTGTCCATCTCCAGAGGGCTGCCTGTAGGAAGGGAAAGGGTTTTTTCCCTGGCCTCCTGTCACTCCAGGGGGATGAGGGGACTGAGATGGGGAGACTTGGGGCTTGGAAAGGGCTAGGCTGGGCCATTGGTTGGGGCAAGTTGCCCCAGGGACCCTAGTAGGCTTGTCCTGTTTCCACAGGAAGAAGTCCCAGCACAGCAGAGTGTTCCCCAAGCTTCATACGGCGCTGTGTGGACAGGCTCACGTTTTTGGCCAGGTAATCAACAGCAGCTGGAAAGAGAGAGAGGCTTCTAGAAACTAGGTTCTCTTCATGTATTCTTCCACGTCACCTTCATCCTTCTGTCCATCTGTCCATACAACCACCATTCCATCCAGCTCTCCTCCATCCATCCATCCATCTTCCATTTATTCATTCATCTGTTTACTCATCCATCTTACCAATCTATCCACCCACTATCCTTTCCTTCCATTCTTCTGCCCATCAATATATCTATTCATCCATTTACCATGCCTTCCCTTCTTCCAACCATCTATCCTTCACTCCTCCCATCTACTCACCCATCCATCCACCCACCCACCCATCCATCCATCCATCCATCCACCCACCCATCCATCCATCCATCCATCCACCCATCCATCCATCCACCTATCCATCCATCCATCCACCCACCCACCCATCCATCCATTTCCATCTGATTACCCATCAAACCTAATGATCCATCTATCCATTTCCCACCATCTTCTTCACATTCATCTATACACATAGTCTTCCATCTATACATCTGCCGATCTTCTTGTCTGTCCTTCCATCCACGTTACTCATCTACCCATTCTTCTGTTCATTCATCCTTCTGTTTATCTGTCTATCCATCCTTCTGATCATCTATCCATCTGTCCCTCTTTCCTCTGCTGGCTAACTTTTATTGTCAACTTCACATAGCCTAGAATGACCTGAGAGGTGAACATCAGTTGAAGAACTGTTTAGATCAGGTTGGCTTTTGGGCCTGTCGGTGAACTGTCTTGACTGCCAATTGGTTATTAAGAGATGCAGCCCACTGTGGGTGACACCACTCCCTAGGCAGGGAACCCTAAGCTGTATAAGAATGAAGCCAGCCAAAGGCAAGTAAGTAGACATCATGGATACATTGTTTCTCTCTGCTCCTCAGTGAGGGTGTGATGTGACCAATTCAAGTTCTTGACTTACCTTCCTGTTATCATGAACTGTAACATGTCATTGTAAGTAAAATTAACCCCTTCCTTCCCTAAGTTACTTTTGGTCAGGGTATTTGACACAGTAACAAAAATAAAATGAAAACACCCTCCATCCTTCTTCCACCCCTCTTTCCCTCACAAATCTCCTTTCCAGCCTCTCAGCAAATATTTACTCAATGTTTATTATTTGTCCACTCTTTTGCTGTCTCTGCAGGAAAGTACAGACATACATCTCAGTTTTTAGTAGAAAATTAAGTTTCCCTCCCTTAATCCATTCGCACATCCTGGCCAGTGAACCCAACTGAGTGAGTCCAGGGCACACTGAGGACGAAGGTCTCTGCCTTTGCTGGACCCTGTATGCAGGCATGCATGAGGCACAGCAGGGTCCTTGCACAAGAGCCAAAGTGGCTTTTTGCAAGTGAGCCAAGAGGGCCTTCGGGAGGAAGAATGAGAACTGAGACCCACAGCCTGTCAGCTCCAGAGAAGACAGGTTAGGATTGGTGGGGATGTGTTCGAACATGAGTTGTGTGTGTGTCTGTGTGTGTGTGTGTGTGTAGAGGAAATGAGTATCTTCACAAGGCTATGCCAAGCATGACATTAATGTTCATACTTAACAATACCTAGTCATGTCCATTCAGGACATATACACACACACGCACACAAATGTACACACATATACAAGCAAGCACACACACACATACCTGTGTGAGCCCTTTACTCCTTGTAAACAGATGCACAAGTGGGAACACCCATGCATTCATAGTCCTGCAAACAAGAGCTCGCCTGAGGAAGACACAGGTGTGTCATGTGCAGCTACAATTGCCGGCCGGCAAAGCACTTGGAGCTGTCCTAATGGAAACTCTAGCAGAAGTCTTTCCTGACTAAGGCACCGAACAAGCATGTGGCCAAGGCCTCCCAGGGTGCGGGATGTTACCTTTAGGTCTTGTGACAGTAGCCAGTGCACCCCCACAGGACCCTCATGCACAGAGAGGCCAGAGGAAAAGATAGAAAGCTATGCATGAAGAGTCACAAGGCTCCCTGTTACCTGCGGCCTGTAGACTGTCACTGTGCTTCCCCGAGCTTGACATCTTCTGCTTGAAGCAGAGCAGACAGAGGTAGAGCAAGGAGGCAGGGGACACAGCTTGAGGGCTAGGTCAAGGAGACCAGAGGAGCAATCTCAATAGCTGTCCTGGATTTAAACCCCGTGCCTGCCATCCTTGGGTGTGACCTGGGGCACACCACTTGAGCCTCAGTTTCCTGGTTTGTATCATGGGACAGAGTGCAGGGAAAGTTAATAGAACCCACACACATAGTCTGAAGGTGGAGTGTACTGCTTGTGAGCTTAGGCCCAGAAGAAATGTGACCTTTGGCAGTGGCATAGAAAAAGGTGTGGTCATTCCTGGGTACATTCCCAACCATGTGGTTTTGAGCAAACTGGTCTTCCTTTATGTTCGTCTACCTACTTGAAAACTGGGGTCCAGATGTTTTTAAACATGTCGTCACAGAAGTCTCAGGACAAGCCTCCTAACTCTTAAAGGCTGTGCAAATGTCTTGGGGTGTCTTTGAATTTTGTGTGTGTCTCCCCAGCCAGGTTGATGGTGGGTAGGTGGAGGGAAGTTCTGTGCTGAGTTCCTGGGTTGGACAATCTGTGACATCACTCACTCAGTCTCAGGCTCCCAGGTAGCAGAGCAGAGGCAGCTGTGGCCAGCCTTGCCTGGCTGTGAGTGGGGAGTGGGGAGTTCCCAGCTCTAGCTGAAGCTCTGGCCACACTGTCATGTCTCCTTGGGTGTCAGGATCCATGGATCAGTAAGCCACCTCTTAGAGGGGTGACAGGCACTGAAGGGATAGAAGCAGAAGCCTCAGAGAGCTAGCCCTGTGCTATCCTGCTCCCAATCCCGTATTCGGGGTACTTTTAAGTATTATTCCAGCCATATAAGCCAGGTAGTGTGACTGTCCCCTGTCCCTGTTTGTCAGAATGTAGAGCCAAGGTCTTTAGAGACTCTAACTAAAATCAGCTGGTTCCTCTTATGCTTTCAGACCAGCAGCCTGGGGACAGCTCCGTAGCCTTGGGCCTCACCAGCAGCCCCTGGGAATGATCCTGGGGTATGAGCATTCCTGGTGACGGCCCCTGGTGTGCATACAGCCCTCAAGACTGAGGCCCTTTGCCCTACATGCCCACATGGAGCCTTTTCCACTTCAGGAAAGGTTTACCAAGAGCACACATCACCTCAGGTGACCTTCCTTTAGTCACAGGAGCTGTGGCTTACTTTGCCTCAGTCTACCCCATGCTGGGCCCTGACACTACCACTGTATTCCAGGTAGGCTAAGAGGTCTATCACTGGGCCAGGATAATAGCAAAGTTAGAGCCCACACTTGGTCAGCACTTACTGTCTACTAGGGGAACGTGAGTTCTGTGCCTTGGGCAGGATGATTTCTACCTGAGAAATGTGAAAACGGAGGCACAGAACAGTTGCCAGCCCAGAGTTACACATAGATACCCAGGGGCATGGCTCCATTGACAAAGCTGTTTAAATGTGAAAAGCGGATCCCTAGAGCCCAGGCAGAAAAACCAGACACAGTGGTTTCTGTGCCCCAGCACACGGGAGACAGAGACATCTGAATCCCTGGGGCTCAATAGAGAACCTGCCTGGTGGTCTGCTTAGAAAGTTCCAGACCAGTGAGAGATGCTGTGGATAGTGCCTAAAAACGAGCCCTAAGCCTGACCTCTGGCCCCCACAGGCACAACTGCACACACAAACACATACATACACACATGAACACATACACATATAAATAAATAAAGTGAAAACAAAATAAAGACTCATTTCTCTGGCACCTCTACTCACTCTGTGCCTCTTCCCTGGTTACCTTCCCCTGGCACACAGTAGGAGCTTTCCCCCCTTGAGGTAGGCAAAGAAGCACCCATAAGTCAAACTTTCCTGTTGACCACCCTCACCACCCCCCACAACTTCCAAAGCACCCAATGAGCCAACTGTAGGGCTTGCTTGTCTCTTCCTAGGGTAGAGCCAAAAGTCTGGGCAAGAAGACAGGACAGTGACATTCCTCATTAGGGACTCTGTCAACGGCCCTTGGTGTCCTTCTGTCCCTCTGTCTCCCTTCTCCTGCCTCACACCCCGCCTGGGCTCTGAACGTCTCCAATTACACTAATCAAGAGTTGGCAGGAGCTGGGCCAGCAATGCCAACCAGTAAACAGATCCCAGCCATCAGTAGCTCGTCAGAGCGCGGCCCCAGAGGAGGACCCTTCCAGACACAAATTCTTATTAGAGTTGTCAGATCTATTAAAATCCTCTTCACACTCCGACGTTCTATCAGCCCCGTCATTAGGACAGCCCTGGCCTCTGGGAACACCAGGGCCATATTAATCTACCATGTGCCCCATCCCTGCCCCCTGCCCCCACCCACTCCAGGGACAGTTAGAGATGGGCAGATGGCTGGACATGGCCAGAGCAGGAAGATGCGAAGGTGTTTCTGGGAAGGCAAGAGGCCCTAGGAGCCGGGGGCGGGGCCTGCTGCATAGGAGTTGGGTTACGTGCGTGTTTCAGACACACCTGAAATGGCTCTTGAAGACCAGGATACAGGTGTGGCCACCCTGCCCATCAACACCTCTCTAGTAACTTCTCTAGGTACCATTTCTGTAACAGACAGTGAGAAGAACCACGCACACAGCTCTGTGTAGCAGTGGAGATGGAACGCCAACTAATAATTATTTCTCCTCCCTCCGTGCACACACATTTAACAAGTTACACCTTGACTCTGTGCACGTGCTCAGTGGCACTCACACATGCACATACGCACACACACACAGGTATCTGCATACAGGAGAGTGTGTACCAATTAGTGTCAAGTGTCTTTCCAAGACTGGCTCACCTGTGCTTTGAGGTAAGGAAGCTGAATCACAGTTGCCCTGCTGTGTGTCCTTGGAAACAGTATTCTACCTCTCTGAGCCTAACAAACTGAGGACCAGGGGGTGTGAAAGCTCTGTGAACGAGGAGCACGTAGAACTGCATGGGCTAAACTCGAGCATGGGACAGGAGGCAGCAGGTGACGGGATCAACACAGAGGAGTCCAGGATGTGTGACTTTCCAAGCTTATTAGAGAACCTGGCCTTATGTGTTGTGCTCAGGGATGATGGCTGCTGGTTAATGGAAATGTGACATGTCCTTTGGCTGCCCCAGAATGTCAACAGAAAAGAAGCCAGTGTGACCGGAAACTGTCGAGAGGATGTGTCTCATCCCCAGACCCATGCTGCAGGTGGGAAAGCTGAGGCTGGCTGTGTGTCTTATGCCATGGTGACACATGGTGGCCGAAGTGCCTCAGTAAGTGGAGTCTGGGTAGGGCTGAAGACAAAATGGCCCTAGACAAGCCCTGAGCTCTCCCTGCAATAACGGAGGAGGAGGAGCAGAGAAAGGTGGGGAGGAGGGAGGAAGGAGGGGAGGAGGGAGGGAGGAGGGGAGGAGGGAGGAAGGAGAGGGAGGGCAACTGCCTCTCCGTTCTGGCCTCCTGGGCCCCTTCTCTTTTGATCCCCCTTCCCCACCACCCCCACGCTGACTTTGGGGTTAATTTTATTTCCGAATTGGGCAGGCGCCCTGGAGCAGGGCAGGGGCTCCAGGCTCCGGGTGTGACTAACGCCTGCCCGGGGCCGGCCACGCTGCCGCTGCTGCTCTCAAATGTTTTATCAAGAGCATGTGTGTCCTGTGTTGGACTGAGAACATGCGCTAGGTCAGGGGGTCAGCCAGGGACCGCGTGGAAAGGCTCCCATGCACACTGGTGCATCCCGCTCACAGATGATCGTGTCGAGCTGTGCTTCCCACGCACACATTCACACGCGTGCTCCTGCACACCCATAGGCACACGCACACCTGCATACACAATCATGCCCACGCACAGCATGTGAACACACCCAGGCACGCATATCGTGCTCATGCAAGCACCCAAACATGCCTAATCATAGACACCTTTAAGTAGAAGCACACGCCACAACAGACATGTGCACACAGCCACACTTATCTGCATACTGGTCATACACATTCAACACACACACACACACCAGCGCGCACACACACATATAGACACATCGGCCTATCAGAACCCACCTATGAAAATGTAAACATGTGTGCATATTTCCACCACATACCCTCACATCTATGTGCGTCTGTGTGTGCTCCTACAAAGCCGTATACACATATGCAACGTGTACAAGGAACTGTGATTTGTATGTACATGAGTACAGTTACATGTAAACACACACTCACATCCAGCACACATTTATACACACACACACACACACATAGACAACTCACTTATCTGGGAAGATGTGGGCACTTTGCAGCTGCTGAATTATTCATGCCACATCGCTTGCACACATCGTGTGCACAGACACTTGGACTGGAACAATCCCATGTTGCAGACACGCATGCGAGCTTGCACATAGGCACATGGGAGGTAGAGGCCCACACAGCTGGCCCTCATTTAACCGTGGAGGCCAAGGCCATGAGGTTGGAGTGGGCTGGGGGCCTCAGGAAGCAGAGGTCAGCGTAGCAGAAGCAGGCAGCAGCTGGAGAGGGTGCCCTCAGGCTGGAGGCCCCACTCTCTCCACACACCCTCCTGATTAGTTTGACACCAGCAGGTGAGGCCTTTGCTGGAAGGTGGCGAGAGGGCAGCCTTGTGACCTTTGGCTCCCCCATCCTGTCTGGGCCTGCCCTGCTGTTGGCCCCATCAGCCGGCGGCCAGAGGTTGGGGCCAAGCCCGGCTTGCCCAGCTGTTGGTCTGAGAGTCTACTGTTGCTATATCAAGCCAAGACACCAAGGGGACACTGGCTGGAGTAGGTATGTGGGACCCTGGGGACTTGAGAGGGGTGTTGTGCAGAAAGTAGAGCTCTGCACACAGCCATCCTCCTGCATTGCCACGCACAGGGGGAAGATGGGGAGCAGACCCCGCCCCCCACTGTACTGCCCCGACTTCACGCCACGCCACATGCCGCTAGCTATCCTACACTTGACCTGTGCCTAGCACCACCTCAAGCAGACTCTCAGATGTTTACCTAGTTTTATGTCATTCAAATAAATGTAAAAGCTGACCTTGAATTTAGTTAGTTCATGTTGAAAAGCTTGGGTGTGCAGCATTGTGTCCCCAATGGTACCTTCATGAGTTTTAAGTACCGATGAAGGATAGTAAATTCAAGCCCCATTTGAGCTACAGAGTTCAGGCCAGTATGGACATCTTAGTGGACCTTGTCTCAAATATAAAGCAAGTAGAGGGTTGGGGATGGAGCTCTGTGGCAGTCCTCATCCCTAGTTTGGGCAAGGTCCTGGGTTCAATTCCCAGTACCACCAAAGGGACAGCAACAAAAACCACTGTTTTTTTTTTTTTTTTTTCAGACAAACAGAGTCTGAACAAAAGAATATGAAGTATTTCCCGGACATCTCGTGTGGATTGTGTCAAACAGTGGTCTGGGGATACTGGGTGAGACAGAATATGCTGAGAAAAAAATCCTGCCCTTTCTCCTTATAAAGTGTAGCCTCGAGAGATTGTAGGGGCATTTGTGGCTCCTGGGGTGGAAGTAGTGTGTGTGTGTGTGTGTGTGTGTACAGGAGTCCATGCTCATGGGTAGAGTGTCCTCACCAAGAGGTGAGCCACTGCATCTGATGACCAGCTCACCTTTGCTTCCTTTATGGACCTCAGTTTTCCCACCTGGAACGTGACCCTGAATTTGATTCCCAGAACCCAGGTAAAGGTAAAAAAGAAACAATGTCCCCAAATTGTTCTCTGACCTCCACTCATGTGCCCCCACTCACACACACCACACACATACATACATACACATACAGAGAGAAACACACAGACACACGCACAACATACATCACACACACCCCACACATAGACACACACACACACACCCCACACACACATAGACACAGACACATACACATGCATCACATACACGCACCATACACAGACATACACGCATATACATCACACACACACAGACACACACACAACATATATCACACACACCCCACACACAGACACAGACACATACCACACACAGACACACAGACACACACACACACACACACGCAACTTTGAATTTTAAAAGAGGACTCGAGAGATGGCTCAGTAGTTAAGAGCCCTGGCACCAACATTCATACACATGAAATAATAAAATAATTTTAAAATTCTTTTAAAGAAAAAGCTGCCCTCCACCCTGACCACCACCTTGCCCAGGAATACGTCAGTCCCCTTGTAGATGGGCAGCGAGGGGAACACTCACTTTGGCCATACTGGCTGTACTGGTAGCCAGCCACATACCACACACAGACACACAGACACACAGACACACACACACACACACACACCCACGCAACTTTGAATTTTAAAAGAGGACTTGAGAGATGGCTCAGTCGTTAAGAGCCCTGGCAGCTCTTGCCGAGGACCTGGGCTTGGTTCCCAGCACCCATAAAATGGCTTACAGCTATCTGTAACTCCAGTTCCAGGAGATCCGATACCCTCTTCTGGCCCTTGCATGCACTGCATGCACATGGTACACCAACACTCATACACATGAAATAATAAAATAATTTAAAAATTCTTTTAAAGAAAAAGCTGCCCTCCACCCTGACCACCACCTTGCCCAGGAATACGTCAGTCCCCTTGTAGATGGGCAGCGAGGGGGACACTCACTTTGGCCATACTGGCTGTACTGGTAGCCAGCCACAGGGTCCACACTGTAGCCAGTGGTGCTGTAGGTGGGTGGGCAGTAAGACTGGGAGGTGGGCAAGCTGTCTCCTGGCTTGATGGAGTCGGCCCGCTGGCTGCAGCTGGCTGAGATGGAGGAAGCAGAGTCCAGGCCTCCGTGCAGCGGGGAGATGGAGAAGTCGGCCTGGGGCTGTGGAGGCACCGCGCTCGGGTTGCTGAGAATGCTCATCACCTGCAGGAGAGATAGGCAGTGCCAGAGGCTGGACCCCAGGCCACTAGCATGTAGGGATCGGGCCAGGGCAGCTCAGTGAGTACACACTACCCGCACAGGCCCAGGGAAGACCTCAGCAATGTCACAGCCTCGTGCAGGAGATGGGAGCTCATCTCCAGTGTTTTTCCTGCCCAAGTGTGAGCCCAAGGGGCTGTTTCCCAGCAGGAGCTCCAGAAGCAGGTCAGGCCCTTTGTCACTTCTATGTCCCTTATGACCTAGTTTGGGGGGGTTACCTCTACTTTCTGCTGAATGCATGCATGAATAAACCAACAGATAAAGGCAGAAATGAAAGAACTAATTACTCAAGGGACATCCTGGACCTATCAGCTGGAGGGATGAATGCTGAACGAACGCCCACAAACATGAATGATAACTCAATGACTACATGAGGGGAATCCCGGACCCACCAGCTGAACAAATGATTGAGAACACTAGCTAGATGAGAGGTATCCTGAAGTTATCAGCAGAATGAATGAATGAATTGATCAACCAACGGATGCATGGATGAATGAATAAATGAACTAGCTTCATAAAAGGCATCCTGAACTATCAGCTGAGAGAGTGAAGAAATGGGTGAGTGCATGAATGAGTGGGTATATATACATATATGTGAATTAACAAATGCATTAACTATACAAGGCTCTTGATCTATCAGTTGGATTAATGAATGAATGAATGAATGAATGAGTGAGTGAATTAGTGAATGAATGAGTAAGTGAATAAATGAAGGAATGAATGGATGAGTTAATGAATTAGTGAGTGAGTAAATGAGTGAATGACTGAGTGAATGAGTGAATAAATCAGTGGATGAATGACTGAGTGAATGAGTGAATGAATCAGTGGATGAATGACTAAATGAGTGAATGACTGAGTGAATGAATGACTGAGTGAATGAATGACTGAGTGAATGAATGACTGAGTGAATGAGTGAATGACTGAGTGAATGAATGACTGAGTGAATGAGTGAATGGGCTCTAACTAGATAGGGGGCATGTAAGGCCTATCAGGGATGCTTAACTGACCGACTGATGGACTGATGGACGACAGGATGAAAGAATGAATGCACACATGCATGAGAGGTAAATTGACTAGCTAGATAAAAGGCACCATGAAGCTATCCGCTGAAGGGGTGAATAAATGAATGAATGAATGAATGAATGAATGAACGAACAAATGCACTCACTAGCTAATGGATACCCTAGGCCTATCAGCTAAAAGGGAAATGAGTAAGTGAAAGAACTAATGTGAACCGAGGCATGTGTTCCTCAGTGCCCTAACTAGATAACGATGTCTCAATAGTCACAGCTTTCCTCCAGTGGCTAGAGAGCCGTGCCTTTTCCATCACACTGGGATATCTCATCTACACACACACACACACACACACACACACGCACGCACGCACGCACGCACGCACGCACGCACGCACGCACGCATGCACACGCACTGTAGTCTTCCTGGTTTAACGACCCCACGCCTTTGCTGTGCTTAAGACCAGGTGCTGTTCATAACTTTCTGGATTTTAAGCTCCTGCCTCTGCTCTGCCAAAGACCGAAGCCTGTGCTTTTAATACTTCATTTATTTATTTATTTTTGTGGGTGTGGGTGTGGGTGCCTGCGTGTGGCAACCAGAAGACAATCCATGGTGGATCAGGCCTCTCCCTCCATCATGTGGGTACTGGGGATGGAATTCAGGTTGTCAGGCTTGGTGGCAAGTGCCTTTACCCACTGAGCCATCTCGCCAGCCCAAGGCCCATTTTTTTTTTTTTAACAGCTTCCCTGAGACCCTTCTGTGATCGTCAGCCCCTGCTGTCTCTGACCTTTACCCAGGACCCTGCTTGGATTGTGGGGACCCCCAGATTCTGCAAATTCACCCTGAAGGATGGATGTTGAGCCACTAGGGTGCTCACTTAGTCATTCAGTACTGGTGACCAGTCTATCCCCACACCCCAGGCTGAAGGCCACGGAACTTCAGAGCAGAGTTCTGGCCTCTGCCCCAGTGGAAGAGTGAACAGAAAGATCTTGGCAATGAGTGAAGGCCCCTGAAGCACAGAGCGAGCACTGAAGCTTTTGATAGAGACAGCTTTTGGTTGTGGAAGCCTCAACGTGGACCCAGCCTGCCAGAGATCCAAAGGAGCTCTGGAGAAGGTGGGACCTGCCACCAAGAATTCCTGGGACAGTGGGGATTGATGGTGCAGTGATGACCCTACAGGGTGAGAGGGCACAGTCACCCAGAGAGGTCAAATGGGCAGAGCCTAGAAGACCTGCTCTGCAGGCCCCAGGCCTCCGGTGATCTCCTGGAGATGCCACCCTATAGGAAAGATGCCACCCTATAGAGGCCCTGGGCGAGGTGGTTTTCCCAGTGGTTTGTCCCACATAAGCTCTGGGGCAGGAGAACAGGTCAAGGGCAGACACACAGGTTCTATAAGCCCTGGATAGAACAGAGTCCTCATACCTAACAGCTGTGTGTCTGAGGGGGTGTGGACAGCCTGGAAATCCCATGACCTCTGAAGTCCCAGGGAAAGGGATTGTGAGGGTGGCTGAGTCAGAGGCCGGGAGGATGAGGGGATCTCTGCCAGGGACATGCTCTGCCTTGGGCCTGGCTGAGAGGTGCAGAAATAGAACCCTGTTCTCATGAGCCTCCGCAGTTGCCCCTCCCTTCAGACCTCTTCTTAGCCATTCACCGACATGCTATCTCAAATTCAGAGAACTATGGAGACATGTGGGGCAGAGATAAGAACCCATTTCTCAGATAAAAACAGTGAGGTCCACGGAGAGCAATGCCTCCACCACACCTCATAGGCATCGGTCAGGGATCCAGCAGGCTAGGGCCCGGTTCACGGCCAAGATCACCAGCCACGGATTCCCAAAGACCAAGCTGGCTCCTCCAAGCCCTTTGGAGGGTCTCACCCCAGGGTCATGGAGTCATTCATTTCTTGGGAAGCCAGCGGAAGGGGGGATGAAACACCACCTAAACTTTGTAAACTGTACTTGGTCCACACCAGAGCCAAGGGCGGGGCATGGCAGGCTGTCCACAGGTTCTGCAGGTGGCATTTTTTTTAGGTTGGATGGAACCCTGTGGACCCCTCCAAGATGGCAAAAATATTCTATGTCTTTGGAAGGGTTTGAAAGGAGGTCTGAGGTTGGGTGGATGCACCTGGACTACTTTGTCCTGTCTGCCTGGCTCACAGACTCGCCCTGCCCCTGGCATCTCTGTCAGGCAGGATCAAGAGCAGAGCGCTGGGCTTTAGGATGTGGAGACATCTAAGCACTGTGCCTTTCTAATCTTCGAGATGGGTGTCCCAAGCCTGGGAAACCTGCCATGGGGTTCGATGCAGAGACTCCAGGGTACACTTGGGATCTGGGTCTGGGAGACCTCACTGTTCCCAATGGTGTTTGATTCCCAATCAAGAACCCACTCTCCCACCTGAATGATGACACTGTCAGTCACCCTGCCCCCCACAGACAGAGCCTGCTTCCCTTGAAAGAAGCTGGGCCCCAGGAATCACCTCACCACCCCCTTCCCTTCTTTCAGAACATGTAAGAGGCTCCTGGAGGAGGTTGAGACCCAACTTGATTTTCTAGTACTGCCTTTTACCAAGATGGCCAGCTCAGAAAAGATGGTGGGCAGGGAGAAAGGAGAAAGGAAGGTAAGGGAGGAGGCGGTACCTCAGAGACCTCATATATACATATTCTATACGACTGACACTCACACAGGATAATGGCCAGAACTGACTCTGTCACCTAAGAATGCCAAAAGGGCTCCAGCAAGGGCTTCTTGTGGTCTGAGCTTTCTCTGCTGGACCAGTTTCTTGGGCCCCATTGTGACCCAGCAATGTTGTATTCCCTGAGGCAGACAACATTCATGGGCTCATTTATTATCAATGAATGTGCCATGGGACCATTGCTGTGGGCCCAAAGTATGTGTCATCACTCTCTGCAGTCTCAGTGTGTGCTTCTGGTCTGCTGTCTACGGTGAGCTCAGAAGTGCTTGCTGAATTCACACATAGGGCTCTAATGCTATTCTTGGGCATTTATCATGTACCCGATCTTAAGCCAATCACCTAGGATATTCTGAAGAATAACCCCAGCTGCCTCTCAGAGCTGTCAGTCAAATATGCAGACAGAGAAAGAGCATAACTTCCGCCACTGGAGACCACTGTGGAGGCATGGGACCACATGGGAGGGGAGTAGGGGGGTGGGCTCAGGGAAGACCTGCCCAAAGTGTTCATAGCCATCAAATCCAAAACAACCGGCCCTGCAAGATATGCTTGGCAGAGGGCTTTCTAAGTCGGAAAGACCTTACAGTGAGAACACACCTAAGCAAACTTAAGAAACGGCCAAAAAGATGAACACTGAGGGGGTTGGGGCTGATGGCTCTTGTAGAGGACTTCGTTTGGTTCCCAGCACCCACATCAGGTGGCTCACAGGCGCCTGCAACTCTAGTTCCAGGGGATCCTGTGCCCTCTTCTAGCCTCTTCAGACACTGCATACACAGCCTGAAGGTTCATATACACGAGTAAAATGGAAAAGAATGAACTCTTCTTTAAAAATATTTTAAACCAAGCATGGTTCTGGACGCTCTTAATCCCAGCACTTTGGAGGCAGAGGAAGGTGGATCTCTGTGAGTTCAAGGCCAGCCTGGTCTACAGCCAGGGCTACCCAGGAAGGAGACCTGGGAGGGGCAAGGCCTCCCACAGCTCTTTGTTGGAAGGGGTGTGTGTTGTGCTCCATGGCTCTGAAGGCCATGGACCCTGCCAGCTCACAGACAACTCAGCCCAGGGAGCTTTTTCCCATAATGGGATTTGCTCAATGGGATTTGGCCTGGAACATCAAATCAAATCCACATCTGGGGTAGGTGTGAATGGTGACTCTGAGTCCCTGGAGGCTCCTGGATCAAATGGTTTCCATTTCATCTGCAGGAGGGTAACTTCCCAGGCAATAGACAGGGAACAACCTAAAAGA